CTGTGACTTTTGGGATCCTGCCTCTCTACCCAGAACCAGGAGAAAGCCAGGAAGCCGGCAGGCTGGGCGACTTTTCTACCAGATCCCTTCACAGTCTACATACAGTATACCAAATATCCATTAAGGGTTTTGGGGGGCTGGGTCTGTTTTTAATGTGAGCTGCTTCTTCCCAAACGGAAAGCGGTAGGTACATAACTGTTTGGTAATAGATCGGGGTTGGGGGCACTGGGCTCCCTGCTGCCAAGTGATGATTCCTTGAGACAGGGGCCGCCCTGGAAGACGATTGGGATGGGATGGGATGGGATGGGATGGTGCAAACTCAGCTGCCTGGTTGTGGGGCAAGACTGGGGCCAAAGCTGGCTGTTTGGCCATGTTGGCCTGGTCTGGCATCACTCGCCTGAGTGGCCTTTGCGTTGCTGGGCTCCTGGAAATTGCATGGCGGAGAATTTGCTGGGCCTCCATAGCTGGACAAGCCAAAGGTTCACCCATCAGGAGAGGCTTCTCGTGGTCATCCCATGGTGCTGGCCACGTTCCTGCCTCACGCATTCTCCTTGGCTCCTCACACTTAGGGCTACCAAAGACACCCAAAAACATTTTGCATGAGAAGGCTTGCTCTGTGACCCACAGCAGAGCAAGTCAAAGTTATTTTACTGCACTACAACTCATAGAAACTCTCCCTCCTCCACAACCAGCATGGCCACTAAGGTCCAAAAGAGTATGACCAAAGAGCCTTAGGGCCCCTGAAGAGGAGAAGCGCCTCGGAAAGGCTTTGCTCAGATGGTTTCCTGAGGACCCTTCTCTCCATCCCTTTCTCTGCCCCCCCACCCCCTTTCCCCTTCCTCCCAGATGCTGCAGGGTCCCTCCATGGCCGCCCCCCACCTTGCCCTCCTGGCCCTCCTGGCCACGTCGGTCCCACCTGCAAGGCCCACGGAGCTCTGCGAGTCTGAGATGAACAAGGTCAAGGACCAGCTCCAGGTGAGCTGTGTGGAGAAGGGCCTTTCTGGGCTTCCTGCTGGGCTCCCAAGCGCCACCGGCATCCTCCTGCTGGGCTCCAACCGCCTGGGCCCCTGGCTCTCCCTGGCCGCCTTCCAGCCCCTGGGCCAGCTGAGCGAGCTGGACCTGTCCAACAACAGCCTGTCTGCCCTGGAGACCGGTGCCCTGCTGCCTCACCTCCAGCAGCTGACTCTCTCCCACAACGCCTTGGAGAGCCTGCCGGACTTCCAGGGCCTGCCCTCTCTGACCCACCTGGCCCTGGGGCACAACGCATTGGCCCAGCTGCCCGAGGGGGGCTTCCATGCCCTGGGGGGCCTCAAGGACCTCCAGCTGCAAGGGAACCAGCTCCAGCGGCTGCCCCCAGGAGCCTTCCAGGGCCTACAGGACCTCCAGGATCTGGACCTGTCTGACAACCAACTGGAGGCCCTGCCCCGGGACCTGTTGGCCGGGCTGCAGGAGCTGGCGATCCTACGGCTGGAGAGGAACCGGCTCCGGACCGTGCCAGATGGCTTCTTCCCGAAGG